TATTAAGCCCTTATCCAGTATATATGATTTGTAAATATTTTCTCCCATTACATAGGTTGCCTCTTCACATTATTGATGGTGTCCTTTGCGTGCAGAAGCTTTTTAGTTTAATGTAGTCCCACTTGTTTATTTTTGCCTTTGTTGTCTTTGCTTTTGGTATCAAATCCAAAACATTATCACCAAGACCAGCATCAAGCAGCTTACCCCCTATTTCTTCTAGGAGTTTATGATTGTAGGTCTTAACACTCAAGTCTTTAATCCATTTTGAGCTGATTTTTGTGGATGTTGCATTCTTTTGGGTGTGGTTGTCCAGTTTCCCAATATTTTTTGAACAGGTTGTCCTTTCTCCACTGTACATTCTTGGCTCTGTGCCATAAGTCAGTTGACTATATACATGGGTTTATTCGTGGCCTCTCTACTCTGTTCATTTTAGTTTATCTGTAAAAGTACTATATTTTTGAGTAATTTTACAGTAAAAGTTCTAGAATATTTTCCATCGGAATCGACTAATAGTTTGATTTTGTGATATTTTTTCCATTCCTTGCTAAGTTTGCAATGGTCAGATACTGTGATTATGAGGAATTTTATTTACATAATGAAAAAGATTGTGTTTTAGAAGACATGTGTTTTAGAAAATTATTTTGAAGGTTTAAGAAAAAGATCTAAATGTCATCCTTTAAAAATCTTTGCACTTTACAGTTTCTGTTTTCCCATCTTTATACTGTTTATACTCATTATAAATTCCAGTAATACAGTTAGACAGTGGCACCAGTGGTCCACTTGGGTTAACAACTTTCTTAGGAATTAACAAGTCATTTTTCCCTCTACCAAGAGAAATATAAGCATTAATATTTCAAGAGTAGAGGCCACTTCTAGCATATTGCTATATGGTCCTTGGTGTTGGGAGTGCTTGGTATTTCCAATACAGAGGGCCAGCCCACTTAGTAACAGAAAACTCCAGTTCTGGGACACTTTCCTTTCTCTTGAAATTAGTGAAATTAGCACACCCTAGGTTCTTCTTGAGGGCTGGTAAAGGGGAAAGTGCTTTTGAACCACCCAGGATTAAACAATTCTCTCTCTCTCTCTCCACCTCCCCTCTCCTCTCTCACTCCCTGCTCTCCTTTCACTCACGCACTGGCTCACACACTGCCTCCCTGCTCTGGCTTGTCTAGGTTCCAAACTTGCATCCCAAGGCGGAGGTAGGAGTAGCCTGAAGTGTCGGCTTTGAACTACTCCAAGCATCTCTCGGCTAAAAGGAAGAAGTGATTGAGAAATCCCTCCCCAGACTGGTGCTTCCCCGCCCCCAGCACCCCCGCCCCCACGCTCGCGTCCGCGACTGTCCCTAGCACTCCGCCCTCACTCCCCTCTCCCCCATATCTGTAAACCCAGTCTGGGCACCAAAGTCCCCCCCCCCCCCCCCCCCCCACTGCCAAGCGCCGTTTTTAACCTTTTTTGGGCCGGGGACCTACAAAATGCTCTGGACTCTCTCCGGATGGGAACAGAAAGGTTGGGGGAAGAAAACAGCTTGACAGCTTTGTGAAACTTTAAAAAAACTGATCTGAAATGCACCCCGAACTTCCAGATTAAGAACCCCATCTCGAAAACTCTTGATTTAGGACAATCAGATCGAAAGTGGAACTCAGATGCCACATCTCGTTCCCACTGGGAAACTGTAGGAAGGAGAAGACGGTCCGGCACTGGGTCACTTTCACTTGTAAGAAACCAAATGAAGGGGAGAGACAGGACAGAAATTCATAAAGGGGGAAAGAGAAGAGGGAGAGAGCTGTTATAAAGACAAGACGACAGAGGGGAGGAAAGAGAAAAGGCAAAAGAGAAATAGGGGAAACAGGGACACAATGGGAGGGGAGGCGACAGCACAGTGGAAGAACCAGCACGGGGCGCGGCGCACAGAGGCGAGGGCGAGGAAGCGAGAAAGAGCAGAGGGAGGAGAGCGGAGAGGGGTCGAGAGGCAGAAACTGGGAGCGCTGAGAAAGGGAGAGAACTTTCTCTGCGCTCCCTCCCCAGCGCAGGGAGTCTCAGAAAAGCCGATCTGCACGAGGTGGCGAGGAGCGCGAGCGGCTGGCCCCCGAGCTCCGGGCGCCTCTGACCTCCGCCTCCTGCAGCCCGCAGCCGGCTGCGAGCCTCGCACGGGCAGCCGAGGAGGGGACTCCGTCTCGAAGGAGGCGGTCCCCACTCGCTTCGCTTTCTCCTCCCCTCTCCTCCCAGAGGCGGGCACCCGGGGTATTTGAGCGGCGGAGGACCCGCGGCCCCCCCGCCTCCGCCCCCCCAGCCCCCCATTCAAGAAGCCGCTCCGCTATCCCGGGCAGCACAGGGCGCCCGGCGCGCCTCGGAGCGCACGTTCCGCGCCTTCTCCTGCCGGCTCCCTGGACATTATGCGGCCGAGCAGCCGAGCCCCAGTCCTCCTCCTCCTCCTCCTCCGGCTCCTCCTGCGGCCCGAGCGGCTCAGCTCTCGGCAGGCGGCGGCGTTGCTCAGCCGAGCGCAGACGGGACCCTCGCGGCGAGACCTCAGCGACTCCTAAAGTCAAAAGTTGGCGGCGGGCGCCAGGCTCCGCGCGCTCACCGCAGCCGCTGCCTCGCGTCGCCGCCGCAGCCAAGCCGGGCAGGAGGGAGGGGGGTGGGAGCCACGGGGGAGGGGTGGGGAGCACCATGCAGTTTGTATCCTGGGCCACACTGCTAACGTTCCTGGTGCGGGACCTGGCCGAGATGGGGAGCCCAGACGCCGCGGCCGCCGTGCGCAAGGACAGGCTGCACCCGAGGCAAGGTAATGAGGCTCCGGCCACCGCGACCCCTCCGCCCCAATCGCCACCTCCCCAGCCTCTGCGTCCGACAGCAGGCACCCCGCAGTGGAGGCCTCTCCTTTTCCTAGAAAGAATTATCTACGGCTCTACAACCTCTCCCTTTTTTAGGTCATTTCCAGCCAATTTCTAGAGAGAGCCGCTGTAGAACAAACTTAGTCTCCTCCAGCCCTCTTCCCTTGTAGTTTGATCTTTCCCCTTTCCCACCTCCGTGCCGCAAACTATAGTTATTTAGTAACTGGGGGTAGCAGATAGTGGCATGTTTTATTTGATTCAGGGTATTTGTCAGGATCTGAAATTATCTTACGTATTTTTGACTTTGTTCATTGTTTCCGAATGGTGTATCCTCAGAGTCCAGCCTAGTTCTTGACCATTCCTGGCACATAGTAGGTGCTCAGTAAATATCTGTGCATTGGCTGAGGGTGAGGGCATTGACTCAAATGGGCAAAATAACTGTTGGAAAATAACCCAGAACAAAGCCCTCTTCATTTTAAATTAAAACTTGGGGGGAACTGGTTTGCAGAAAATTGAATTATTGGTTCATGTGTCTCTGCTTTTCCCTGCAGTGAAATTATTAGAGACCCTGAGAGAATACGAAATCGCGTCTCCCATCCGAGTTAACGCTCTCGGAGAACCCTTTTCCACGAACGTGCACTTCAAAAGAAGGCGACGGAGCATTAATGCTGCCTCCGACCCCTGGCCTGCCTTCGCTTCCTCCTCTACCTCTTCCCAGGAGCATTACCGCCTCTCTGCCTTCGGCCAGCAATTTCTGTTTAATCTCACTGCCCATACTGGATTTATCGCTCCAACGTTCACTGTCACCCTCTTTGGGACGCCCGGGGAGAATGAGACAAAGTTTTATTCCGAGGAGGAAACGGAGCTCAAGCATTGCTTTTACAAAGGCCATGTCAATACCAAGTCCGAGCACACGGCGGTCATCAACCTCTGCTCAGGAATGGTGAGTTGGTGCGCGCCACCCCCCCTTCCCCTCCCTCCTCTTCACCCCTTTCTGGAAGGCGTAATTAATTGCTCTCTAGCCTAAGACCCTCACTGTGCCGAGTTTCTACTTTGGCTTTAAATATCCGCTAGCAGCTCGTCTGCATCCTAAGGTTTGGGTGACAAGCCCAGTTCGTGTGCTTACACTGGGGAGAGGCACACGCAGCCGCCCTCAGGGGGTTCGGAATGTTTTGGAGCTTTCTAGAGTCCGAATTCAGGCTCCCCAGCGCTTTCCCCAATGCTAGTAGGCGGCTTGGAAGTCGGTTTCCAAATTCCGAGAGTTGTTCTTTCTTGCAGCAAACCCTGCTGCCCAGGAGCGGAGCAGCTGAGCGTAGGGAGGAACCAACTCCTTATTGGAGCGTCTTGAGTCAGGGGTGTGGGCTGAGGATCCCCAGCCTCGGGTATGGGGAGTTCCTTCTCCGTGCCGTGGAGGGCGGTGCGTAATCTAGAGTCCCGGCGATTTCTCCGGGCCTTTTTTCACGCGCCAGGAACCCTGAGGCCGAACAGGATTGACAGGGAACAGGTCCGTCCCAGGAACGGAAGGGTGGGCCGAGGGCTCCGGGGGCGGGGAAGAGGGCGGAGCCTGCCTCCGACGCTTTGAATTTGGGTAGAAACTGGGAGTGGGGGTGTGGCGCAGTCCGACTCTGCACCCTGCTGGCGGGGCGGCCCCAAGAAACAGAAGTAGTGGGGGAGAGCCTGGAGAAGCTGCCCGTATGAGATTTCGGTACTTCTGGGTTTTCTGCCAGCATATGGGGTTCCAGAGAATCGAAAGACAGAGCTTACAACGCTTGTTTCCCTGGAGAGAGAGGGCTAGTAGGCGCAGGCTGGCCACCTCCCTGCACTGCAAAATACGCACGTAGCAGGTTTTCCGAGCGGATACCTCGACCCTCTCCTGACCTTCCCCTCCCCATTTGCTCTCCAGTTGGCCGCACATGGCAACAGCTTTTTATCCGCAACCCCCCCAAACATTTGAAGACCTGCTGTAAAGTTCTGGCAAGAGGGAAAGCGGTCCTTGACTTTCCCAAACGATGTGCGTTGCTACCACGCGCGTGTGACGCAGAAACTTTCCCGGGTCAGGTTCTCCCAGCGCAACGCGCTGTGCGCACTGCGCCCCAGTGATGCGTTTACTCTTCCCCTGAGGACCCACATTCCCTGTCACCTTCTCTAAGAGGGAGCACGGATACTTACCGGGGGCACTCGGTTGCCCCTTCTGTGCGCTGTTGGTGGATTCAGCGTCCCGGTCTAGATGTCGCATCCATCTCCACCGTCCTACGGAAGGGTGGGAAGAGTCTGGTGGGGAGCCAGGCAACCTTGAAGACTGGGATGGGGAAGGTTTTAGCCTGCTGGGATACAGGCATGGGGATGAGCCCCTCCAGCCCCCAGCAAAGCGCCGGGAGCTGCGGCTTGCCGTTGAGCTTGTTTGGGGTGGGCGGAGACGGCAGTTTGACGCACGGGGGGGGCGGGGGGTAAGGGGGTGCTGTAGTGAGTCATCGCTGCCCCAAGACCTAGGGCCAAAGCGCAGGAATCTTTCCATTCTTCAAAAGGTTATGGCCAGGGTGGGCTTAGGTCAGGCATTGGAACCCAGGTCACCAGAGCGCCCCTAGAAACTAAGATTGTAAACCCCAATTCCAGAACTTTATGGATGGGGCAGGGATTGTACGTAAAGTTTGTAAACAACCTTTACTCCTCCTCCCTCCCCGCCTCCACAGCCCGCTGAATGGCCCTGGCAGTTGTATAAATACTTTGCTGGCAGGACCTTGATTTCATTTGGCAATTTTAGGTGGTAACTCGTCCGTGGGTATGCAAGTGGTAACTCTCTTGGGGGGGCTGAGGGCCCGGGACTTAAGAATGATTGTATAGACCATGAAAACCCCCTTCATATTGCATTAAATTTCTAATCTGCCTTTTCTGGTAGAGAAAGGTCCAGAATACATCTTAAAGATAAGCGCACTGTGTGTTTCTGTCTTCAGCGATTAATCGAGCTCCAATCTCATCTAGTTCATCCCTTTGTCTTCCTTCTGGAATTTGTCTTTCTTCCCAGGACTTCCCACTACCATTTCTATACCAGTAATATCATAAAGTTTCTAGTAGCCCACCCAGGAAATCTCTCACTCTTTAGAGTGAATCTAAAAGTGCCAATCTACACAACACACACACACACACACACACATGCACACACCCCACCAGTTATCATTTTCCCCGAATTCGATCTTAGATGTGTATCTCACCGGGTCTGAACAAGCCCTGCCCAAATTCTAGACCTTTTTACTTCTCTGCTCCTCTCTCATTTAGCGTTGTTTTCTAAGAAATATTTCCATCTGGCTTCTCCTTCACGCTTTCCTCTCTGATCCCTGCCACACACCGCTAACAGAGTAAGAATGGCCTGGTACAAGATTACATTACTCCCCCGTTCACTCACCTTACCTAGTAGCTCCCCACTGCTCAAAGAACAGCTACTAATTCCCTCCTCAGATGATTCAGACCATTTGTGATATGCCCTCTCACTCCTTGCACACCCGCACGCCACACTCCTCTCTTGGGCTTTCCCTCCACCGATTCTGTGTATCAGTCAACCTGCTTTTGCTCCTTTCTCTGAATTTCCCTCCCACCCCAGTCCTATCTTACTGCCTTTGGGCTTTTGGGTTTATTTGGTCATCTCCCCCTGTATCACAGGCTCCAATCCTACCCCTCTTTTAAAGTGTAACTTACACAGCTTCTTCCCCAGGACAGCTTGTCCTTCACAGACACTTGTATCTTTCTTATGATGCTTCGTATGCTCTCCCTTGTATTACAGTTCTTGGTACTCACGATCTAACCCTTTCTTTGGCAGCAGGGTCAGCACCAGCGCATTTATCTCCTATGTTGGAGCCTTGTGTATTATATTTAGTAACTATATTGGGATAAATGGACACTGTAACCAGGAAAAGATGACTCTTAGAGCGGACATTCATCAAACATCAAAGGTGTCTTCTGTGAATCGACAACAAAATTAATTTGCCATCATACAGATAACATTTATTGGACTCTTATGCAAAGCACTTTTTGTGTGCATTATCTCACCCCATCCCAATCCTCAAAACAACCCATTTTACAGATGAGGAAGGACTCTGAGGCGTAGAGAGTCAGAGGCTTGCTCCAGGTGTCCTAACTAGTAAGTGGCAGAGTTGGAGTTCCCACCCTGTCTTTCTGACCCACGTTCCTAACCGGGGACCAGAGACTGGGTCTGTGTTCCTAAAGGGACTTTTGAAGTTCTTTATTGAAAAGGTACTGGACTAGCGTCAGGATACCTGGGTTCTAGATTCAGTACTGGCACCATTCAGCAGCTGCTTCTGTATCACGGAAGAGGGACTTTGGACAAGTCACTTCCTCCCTCTGGGCCTTAGTTTCCCCTTTTAGTAATGAAAGGTGCCAGATCACCACCAGAGGAGCTCCCAGGTTCTTTCCCAATGGTTACGGCCTCTCTCTGGTAGATTGCACATGCAGTAAGCTACTGCTCTGTGCTCTGAGAACACATGAGTTGTATATTTACAACTGAGAGAGGTGCCCAGAGCAGCCCTCCCTTTAAGCCGACAGCTCATGAATCACGCGGAAGACTTTTGTAGGAATACAGATTCTAGACCTCACCGCTGGAAATTCCAGATCTGCAGGTATGGGGTAATGCCACAAATCCCCTTTTTTTTTTTTTTTCGAAGTCCCCAGGCAATTTTGAAGTTTAGATAGGTTTGGAAACCCCAGTGTCTTGGCCTCTTGCTTCCCAAACTTTATTGAGCCTCAGAATACCTTGGAGTGCTCATTGCTTGGCTCCCAGGCCCTACCCCCAGAGATGGGGATTCAGTAGACCAGATTTAGGGTAGAGCATGATTATTTGAATTTCTAACAAACTCTTAAGTGTTGCCAGTACTACGCCTGCCATTCAAAGACTGTCACTTTCATTGTGTCTAGGGGAAGGTAAAAGGGCCCTGGGTTTTTTTCTTTTTGTTGTTGTTTTTTGTTTGTTTGTTTGTTTGTTTGTTTTTTAACAACATCATTGAAAAGCTTGATTTCTTCCTTTCAAGACTTCCCACTGCAAGGCATGGACAACTTTTTAATGCTCTTGGAGATGTGGTTGGGTGGCTCAACCTTGAGGCATAGTTTACCATCTTGTGGGTGTGTGGGAAGGGGAGAAGGAGCTACCCATTTCAGGGTGCTTACACACATTCTGTCCTGGTGGTTAGAGGCTAACACAGCAACACAGAAAGCCACTAAGGTGTTCTAATCCCTTACAAAGTGTCAATTTGCTAAGCACTTTCCAAGCATTATCTCATTTAGTCTGCACCATAAGCCTTTACAATTAGTCCTTTTGTCCCCAGTTGACAAATAAGGAAGCCAAAGCTCAGAGCAGTTAAGGACCTTGCCCAAGGTGGGCAGGTAAGTGCCCAGATTGGAATTGTGAACTTAGGGCAGTAGGATTCCAAGCCTTGTACCTTTTCACTCCCTATTGAAAGGGAAAGGGTGTGCAGAGACTCACCTGTCACTGTCACTGGTGGGACCACCTGGAGTGCCTGTGGTGGGTCTCTGCTTTCTGGATTTGAATTAATGATAAGGCTTCCATGAATCAGCTTTTCCCTCTGGAGCTCACACTTGTCCCTGCGTTTCCAGGCTATCTTCACACACAGAAACACTCTCTTGGAACAGCCTGTATAAGTGAGTATGACTAGAATTGGGGCACTGACAAGGATTTCTTAGAGACAGATTTGCATAGCAGGTGCCATAACCTAGAGTCAGCTCAAGAAGGTACCATTCTGGGGAGTGCAAATAAACTGCTTTCCCAAACAGGTGGGCATCGAGTTCAGTGTTCAGCAGCCCTCACGGGGAAGGGCTTGGGGGAAATGCTACCCTCACTCCTTGGCAATGTTCCATTTTTCCCCCTCCCTGTGGTTGAGTTCTGTTAAACCAACCTCTCATCTCTCTTCATCGGCAGCTGGGCACTTTCCGGTCCCATGATGGGGATTATTTTATTGAACCACTACTGTCCATGGACGAGCAAGAAGATGAAGACGAACAGAACAAACCACACATCGTCTATCGGCACAGCACCCTGCGCAGAGAGCCCTCAACAGGAAGGCGTGCGTGTGACACCCCAGGTATTTCCTTCCTGCTCTGACAGAGCCTCCAGCTCGGTGAGATGGGTCAGTGGCAATACCACAAACACGTACCTCTTCCACAGGCTGCAAAGTGCTACCATTTACATTGTCATTTACTCAGTCTTCGAGCGAGGTAGGTATTTCCTGTGGCACAGATGTGGAAGCTACAGAGAGGTTTAGTAACTTGTTCCAGGTTGCACAGCCACAAACCAACAAAGCCTCCATATGAGCTCATCTCACTCCAGGCTCACAGTGGGCAAAGCTGCGTCTTGTTGAATTTGCTAAATGTTAGGATTCGGCTTTAATAGTCTCTTCAGGCTCTCACAACCATATCTTCAGTCAGCAATGGCTTATGTTCCCTGCGTGTCTTGGTGTTTTCTGTTCCTTTGGGATTTTTTTTTTTTTTTTAACCAGGTAGGATTACGAAAAAGTGAAATAGTTTCAAAAACGGAACTCGGCAGAATCTCTTTGTGTTCATTGGGGTTTTTCCTAATCACATCGGTTATCAGTTTTAGTTGTTGTTCTAGGCTTCAGGAAATAGCGGAACAGAAGTGTGGATTGCGCTGTCAGGTTCTGTCAAATGCGTCTGTGTCCACCCCTGGCTTTCCTTCCCTGCTGGACACATTCCTTGAGGCTTTGTGCTAACACGTCTGGCCATTGTCAGGGCTGTGTCATTCTAGGCCCCTCGGAAAGCTTATGTTTGTGTATGTTTCTCAGTCTACAGCCTTGAGGCAACTTTCCACTGTCTTTGAAGCCTGGTTACTTTCTCTTTGATGACGGCTTGATCCTAAAAAACTGTCCCTCAGTTTGGTCCTGTTTTAAGATGTTTGCTAGAATGCTCTTTTTTAATTCTAAAATAAGGATTTCTAAAACTTTGTCCTTTTCCTTATTCTTCATTTTTAGAAGTTGCTTCTCCAAATTAAATAACTTTTCAGGGTCTTTCTGGCATCTCCAAACAAGACCCGAATTCCAAACCAGCAGAGGGTTTCCTAAAATGCTTCCCAAATGATCGCTTATTTCATCTTACATCTGTATTAGGTCCTTCCTCTGACAGACTGTGGTGTCCTATCCCCTCCTGGAATTCTTTCTAAATAAGAGAAGATAACGTTGGCTGCTTATAACCCAGAATAGCCCGGCCATAGGGTGTAGCATTGTAGCCCATCTAGTGCCATGTTCCTCCTCCCAGGGCTGAATGGAATATGACTGAAATACAATGTCAGTTAGACTCATGAACGAGCCAAGGGGTGAGCTGGGCAGGGGGAGGGCTGAGGGAGCGGTGTACTCAGAAACTGCAGTCCCAGCAGCTGGCATGGCGCCAAGACTGCCAGCTAC